CCATTTCATCTATTCTGCTTTCATTGCTTTTCCCAGAATTCTTTAGTTCTTCCATTAATTCTTTGATCTCCTGCATTTCTTTTACTTCCCTCTTTAGGGACTCAATTTCTTTCTTTCTGACCATTGTTTTCCCTCTCTAGGGACTCAATTGCATTCTTCTGATCGTTGATTATTTTCCCTTATCATTGTTTCCTTTATGACTTCTGTCAGTTTTTTAATCACGGCAATTTTAAATTCTCTTTCTGGAAGGCTCAGAAATTCTTCCAAGTTATTGTCGTTGCAATCTGGGGGCTGGCTTTCTTTTTGTGGTGTGCTTTTTCTCTGGAGAGTTGCTAGGTTGCGTGTGGTTCTTCTCCTCCCTACTGTCTGTTTTCTAATTTGCCGTATGCGTTGGGACACTGTGTTGTTGGGACTTGCCGGCATCTTGGGTGGGCTTCTCTGTTCCCCTCTGGTTCTTCCAGGAGTCATCTGTCAGTTTCAAGCAGCCTTTACTGGAGAAAGGTCCCTGTTCTAAAATGCCGATGTGGGGACACACTCCCCTGTGCGCCTGGTCTGCCCCGGCGGTGGGTTCCTGCTCCCCTCTGGGCTTGGACTGCAGGCCAGAGGGGGTCTGGCGTGGGCGAACTTCCCCCGCTCACCTCTGGCTCCTGAGGAAGCCTTCTGCAGGTAGTCTTTACTGAAGAAATGTCCCTGTTCTAAAATGGTGATGTGGGACACACTCCCTGCGCTTCTGGTCTCAGGCACACTATTCTGCGCGCCTGGTCTGCCCCGGCTGTGGGTGCTCGCTCTCCCTGTGGGCTAAGACTACTTGTTCAGAAGGGGCCAGGTGTGGGCTAACTCCCCAGCTGGCCACTAGCTCCTTCAGTAGCCTGTGCTGGGGTCAAGTCGCTAGGTGGCACCAGAGATCTCTCCTAGAGCCCTTGGGGAGCTGATTTTCCACCCCGTGGGACAGGGAGCAGAGCGGGGATGGTAGGGTACACCTCAACGGCTTTGGGGTGCTGTGTCTGCCTTGTGCCCCACCGTCGTGGGGAACCCACGCCCCTAATTTCGTGTCCCGGGTCTCAGTTCCAAAGCCCTCAGTTCAGGACGCGGGCTGTAGCCCAGATCAGTGGCGCGGGAATGGCGCCTTTTGAATCCCGCTCCCCTGCCTGGGCGCCTTGTTCCTGCTCACTCAGGGAGGGCCTCCGCCCGGGTCTCAGTTCCAAAGCCCTCAGTTCCAGGACGCGGGCTGTAGCCCAGATCAGTGGCGTGGGAATGGCGCCTTTTGAATCCCGCTCCCCTGCCTGGGCGCCTTGTTCCTGCTCACTCAGGGAGGGCCTCTGCCCGGGTCTCAGTTCCAAAGCCCTCAGTTCCAGGACGCGGGCTGTAGCCCAGATCAGTGGCGCGGGAATGGCGCCTTTTGAATCCCGCTCCCCTGCCTGGGCGCCTTGTTCCTGCTCACTCAGGGAGGGCCTCAGCCCGGGTCTCAGTTCCAAAGCCCTCAGTTCCAGGACGCGGGCTATAGCCCAGATCAGTGGCGCGGGAATGGCGCCTTTTGAATCCCGCTCCCCTGCCTGGGCACCTTGTTCCTGCTCACTCAGGGAGGGCCTCCGCCGTCTCCCCGCAAGCCTAGGTCGCAGGCGCAGGGCCCTGGGCAGCTGCAATCCGAGCGCCGCTTTCGCGCAAGCTTACCGGGCGGCTGGGGCTGTGTGCTGGTGCTGGGCTCCTCCTGGTGGGCGGGGCTCTCTTTACTGGCGCCTGGAGCTCACCTCCGCGGCGGATCCTGCAGGGTTCGCCTCAGCTCCCGTTCACGGGTGTGGTGGCTGAAATAGTTCCTTTCCACTCACAGTCCCACTTGCTGCATCCGTTTTTCTTGTTGGGCGTTTTGGTTTGTTGTTTCCCTCGTCTCTGCCGGTCGGAGAGTGCCGCCTCTGTGGGCGGGGAGGGAGCAGGGTTCTGCGCTTCCCTCCCTTCTCGTCCTCTTTTATGGCAACTTTCTTCTTTGGGCAGTTTGCTGGAGTCGTCCGTTTATCTTCCCTGTCTCAGTTCTCACTGGGACCTGCCGCTTTTCCTCCCTATTAACTTTTTTTAATGGGAGATCTTACTCGCCATGTTGCTCCGCCCCTCTCAACATTTTTTTTTAAACAACAACCTATAAAGCTTTTAACACATTAAGTATCACAGGCATTTTTTGAACCATTTACTCAACAGTGACATAATCACCTAAGTTGGTTAAAGAAAAATCTTAGATGTATTTTTTTTTTGTTAATATAGTGTGGTGGCTTTCAAACTTTGTAATTCTGTTTTCATTTCAATTTCACTCTTTTAAAGAAAAGTGACAGATAGAATCTACCAAAATCTGAAAGTATTGTCACATTGTCTCCAAGTTTTCTCTTATTCTCCTTTCAACTGATATGGTGTTTGCACTTCACTGAAGCTATTTTGATCAAGGTCACCAGTGACCTCTATGTTCCTAAATGTAGTGGTCATTTCTCACCCTTCATTTGTGTTAATCGATTGTCAACATTTGATACAGTGGATCACTCCTACCTTAATGATCCAGACTCTTAGTTTTTCTCCTACTTCAGTGCATCCTCCTTCTCAGCCTTTGGTGATTTCTCTTCTTGACACCCTAGCCTACACTGTGATAGCACATCTTGCGTTACTTAATTTTGAGTGCCTGTTGTCCACTGTTAGTAATTTGTACTACTAGATTTTTTTTTCCAGGCACAGACATATTAAATCATACCATAAATGGTGTTCCACAGCTTGCATTTGTTTGTTTGGTTTTTGTTGTAGTAGTTGTTTTGCATCTGATAGTCTACCATGGACTCTTCGTCTTCAAATAAATTACAGCATGGCCAGTAAGAGCATAGAGGCCAAGCTGGGCTCGGTTTAAATCCTAGCTTTGCCAATTACCAGATGTGGTGTTCTGAACAAATTACTTAAGTTTTCTGTGCTACTCTGGAATCAACAAGAAAATAATCTTTGAATAAGAAAAAGAATAATAACTATCTGAATCCCTAGAAGTTTACCTCTGAGATGAAAGATCTGTCTCTTCTAATCAAACACACTACATTAAAGGTTATGACTAAGAAACTTTAATTGCAGAATTTTATGACATAATGGCAATTTTTCTTACACCCTGAAAATAAATAAATTAGCTTTACCTTACCAGGTATTCTATTTTTGTAAGCTGCAAACAGATATGAGGTATGGCACTATTAATCTGGAAACTGCTTATCAGGGTGTTGCTGATATGGGTCGCGCATCTCTACCAACATTCCCCTCAGCTTCTTTGCCGCTGCAAGCAAGCTAATGCCAGTGGTTCCTTGAACCCTGAAAATGCTGATCTTGTATATTTGAGTGGAGCTTAAGGTCGATTTTATGTTGCTTTTCGTTAACTCTTTAAACAGTGTAACTCTATCTGGGCAATAGAAAGCCAGAATTTCAAATACTTTCAAATGTAATCAAGAATTAGTGTGTTGGCTTCATTTTCACTGACGTGTTACCCTCATTTCCAGATAAAGATTATACTTTGGGTAATTATTTCATTATTGTAGATGGAAGATTTTAAACTTTTCCTTAAAACTCGGGAGATGTTTACTTTTTGTCCACCCCTACTGGCTTCTGTGTTTATTAGCTGTATGACATTTTTTATTTTTTGGTTTAGGTTTAAATTTTAGTTGAAATAACCAGTTTAATTTCTCAGTCATAGTCTACTTAGTTTTATGCCTTTTTATACTAACATATTAATTTTAGTATTTTCTCTAAATTTTTTATTGTCAGATATGATAGAGGTGTCTTATAGAATGCCATCCATCCTGGATTTGCCAAATTATTTTTGCTTTCCTGATTAATATAAGAACTTTCAGTCATTGTAGTCTCTAGGTCTTTTTGCTGAGAATAATTTGTGTCATATTACTTACTAATATTAACCTAATTCCAATTCTTTATTCATTGTTACTGAATATGATCTTAGTGGAGAGATTCTATAGATGACTGAGTATAAGGTTCTAATCTTACAAAATATCTGTGTTCTTTCTTCATTTCTAACAAAGATTTCGTCTATGACCTTGAATGAGTTACACAATCCTTCTACCTATGCTATAAAACAGAATTGCTTAATATGTTTAAAGTTCAGTCTGATATTTGTGATGTCCACAAATGTAAAACTTACCTAAAATGGTGATAGAGAAATGGTTGTGATACTTACACATTTGGTACTTTTTTTTTTTTTTTAAGATTTATTTATTTATGCATACAAGAACTAGGGTACAGGCCAGAGTTGCGGAGGTGGGGTGGGTAAGAGGATTCACCAGAGACAGAGTGGGGAACAGAAAAGGCAGACTGACTGAAATACACTGCTGAGGGGAGCAGCATGTGAGCCAGGAGAGGTCTGCTGCGCCATGTGGGTTGCTCCCTGGCCTGGGATCAAACTCGTGCTGTAGTGGCTGCAGATAGCTTCATAGATTGTGTCTTAACGCCTTGCACCACCAGGGAGGCCCTACATTTGGTACTTTAAAACAGGCTTTCATTTAGCACAAGTGTTATATTCTCAGTAGATACTTGTATCATTGTTATGTTTAGACCTGAAGGAAATGGGAACTAACCTTAAAGGCCTAAGGGTAGTAAGCACTGTGCTAGATTCTTCAGATGTATCTTCTCATTTAAATTTTAATTCTGCTAACTTGTGAAATATGTTAATTCTATTTCCACTTTGCAGACAAGGAAACATAAAATCAGAGATGTTTAGTAACTTGTTCTGTTTAAAAACATGCATGTCAGAATTAGGCTATGAACCTAGATCTTTGAAAATGTCCTTACTTGAGCTGTATCATGAGAATGCTAAATACTTATTGTCACATACATTGAGGAAAAGCTCTCTTTAAAAAGTTGATGGCTATTAATGATGAATTTACACTATTTTCTCCTAACCAGAAATACTTTAATGGGCAGTGGCTTTTAAGTATATTAAGTTTCCAATGATATTACATCTTCTGTCACCAATTCTGTTCTAGCATGTTGGCAAAGGATGAACTGATGACCATTCTTGAGAAATGTTGCAAGGTTTTTAAGTCTTCTTCTGCAGTGCAGCTTGACAGCACAGCAAAGAGAATAGAGGAATTCTTGGTCCAGTTTCAGAGCCTTGATGGTGAGAATATAATATCTTGCTAGTTCTTCTGGTATGAGTCATTTAATGAAAATAACATGGAAAACCCCACATTCTGATATTGTTATAGGACAGGGAGAGGGGCAGCCCAAACCCCGCAAACCTGCCTATTCTAAATGGGTTCTGCCATCCGTCGCATCAACACAAAACATAGGAGACTTTAATGGGAAGGAACTTTAATAAAACTAGGAAACAATACAGGTAAGGCAAAGAGTCTAGTTTCTAAATGAAGCATCCAGAGTTACCCATCCCCTCGTGGGTAAAAGTCCATCCAAATGGGATTGGCCCAGAACAAGGCCCCAAAGCCTGCCACAAGTCTAAAGCATCTTCCAGTGGGGACCCACAGAAAAGGGTCACAAACAACCGGACAAGCCCGGAAGGAAAAGAGCAAAATCAACATCAAGATAAAAGCTGTCATTGTCACCTCCCCACGGGTCTCACCCACATCTGTGTCACCCAGTCCACGACCAAAAGACAAGCACAGTTTCTTTACGTGTCTCTAGGCTCCATGCGCCTCCTCCAGGTCTCCTTCTGGCTCCATCCTGCTTCCTTCCTCAGTCTCTTCTGCAGCTTCTCCTCTTCCTGCTCAGCTCCACCCTCCCTTGAGTGGGGCAGGGAACCTCCCCCTTTCCTGGGGACCACCCTGTTGCAATATGAGAGATAAAGAAATAAAGTAGTTCATGATCATTTAGTATACTAAGCCCCAGAATAGCACATCATGACAATCACAAATAAGCCAAGTGCTTATCCTCCAGATTGGGCCTAAACAATGAAAAGCACCAAACAGGAAGGAAAAAAAAAATTCTTTCTCCAGATGGAGAGTTTGGAGGACTTACCTTAAAAAATAATAGCAACAAGAAGAAATTAAAAGACTAGAGGAGGGTAGCAAGGCATCATAATTAAGGACTCTTTTTAGATGTTTTTTCTTAAGCTTTCCATCAAGTTCTTTATATGTTTCAAAATCACTGCATAAATCATTTGTAAGCCTGAAAATTTAATAGCTGTGAACTGCTTTCACAGCAATGAAGCTCATTGGTATGCTGATTACCAAAATATGCATGAGGTTTGCTTTAATCAGATTTACAAAAGCTTGAATCTTTCAGTCCTAACTGGAAGAAACCTGGCATTCTTCCGTGTTGAAAAGTTAGTTTCCTTTATTTTGTATGGCCTCTACACGATCATTTATATTTGCTTCTGAATGCTCAGGATGAGCCTAATTGTGTATAAATAGCCATGTTCTCCTTAAAAGCCCTAGGACTTCTTTTTCTAATGGGGTACCATGGATTGATACTGATCATTAACTTCTTTTGCTCTATTTCTAGCACCCAAATGTATTATGTGTGCACCTTTTATTGTCCCCTGTTTAGGGAAATTTAGTGGCGTTTGGGGCAAGAGGTGGTTTGATGTGTAAGCACATATATAGGATATGGTGGAAGGATTTCACTTGAAATGTCCATATCATTGGAATTCCAAATTCACGTGGAATGCTAAACTGTGTGGCAAGTATTAAGTATTTGTCTTGAAAGTCTCACTGGTTTAGAAAGTGCTCTTACTGAAATCCCTCCCTCTCCATAGCTGCAATGCTAAAATACCTGGTTTGTACTCAAGGTCCATCAGTGGAAGATGAAAGACAAAGTTTGCTGAAAGTGACATGAAAATGAGAGAAGTACTTCACAGGGACTAATAGGGTTTCCTCCAGGTTATTTAGATATTGCTCCCTGCCATTGCAGCATGAACTGAACTATTTATTAAAGCATAAAAATGTAAAGGGCTAGAAATTGCTACCATAGAGATCACTGAGTGCAGCTACAAAAAGGAATATGAGCCCAGAAAGTGAAAGTTAACTTGCTTGAGATCCCTCAGCTAGTGGCAGGTCCCAGCTTAAAGTCTACCAGCTTATTGTTTTATTTCCTCCCCTGATTCACAATTTAAATGCCCCCAAATTGTGGCCATTGGGACAGTTAACTGTTGTCCTTAAGGACATAAATAGGGTAAAAGACTTAAAATAATTTAATTAGGTAAATTTCAGTTTTGTACAAAATTGGCCACGTAGAGATTTTTAAAAAGAAACTGCAGCATATTTATTTTAATTAGAATTCATGTATTATAAGTTACTGAACAAATTCTGTGATGTTCTAATATTAAAGTAATGTAGCTTTTAGAAATGGAAAGGTTGGCAATTAACATGATTAAAAGTCTAAAGAATTTTACAGGTTGAAGAAAGCCAATCTCGCAAAGAAATGTCTGTATTTCACTATTTTTAAAAGTGATACATTGTCAATAAAATGAAATTAAAATCCCCCACATTAGAAGTGGAAACATTTGACTATATGTTACTGACTCCTTAGCATTTATTCACTTATCAGAGTCTGGGCTTTATGTTTGGGAGGTTAAAAGTATATCATATTGCCATCAGATTTATTTTTAAGGCTCTGCTACATGTTAATGAAATGGGACAAAATTTTTTAGATATTTTAACCTTAAATAATATCTTCCTTGAACCTAGAATTATTTATAGCTAAGAAGAAAATTATTCTTTGAGAACAATGTTGATTCTACAGCCGCATCCTCTTAGCTTACATTAGACCAAATAAGCTATGTAAGTGTATAGTTCCTTAAACCTGCCCAGTGCTAGGAAGAGAGTATTAGAGCCATATGCTTTCTAAAAGCACAGCCAGACATTTACCAGATATTTTAAAGAATAATCTGTTTAGTAGATTATTTGAAAATGTTTACACACTACCCTTTTCATATGCAAATGATGGGGAAAATCCTGATTTGCAAGATCAAGGCCAACTTTGCCTGGGTATAGTTCTGTATTGTTACAATCTTGGCATAATCAAAGAATATGATTTAAGTTTTTTTTTTTTTTTTTAACTGTTTACAGCAGATTTTAGGAGTGTTTGCTGTTGGTTTATAGGATTTTGTTTTGTTATTGTCACATTTTTAAAATTCAGGAATTGTTTTCTTTTGAAGACATCTCTACAGTATAACTAAGTATTTATTAACTTCAGCTTCTGGAAGAAATCATTTATCTGATGGAACCTTGATCCTTTGCCACATTAAAAAAATATAGGTGAATTTTATTTCTCTTGGAGTAGTTAGAATGTTTGTTCTCTTGACTTCAGTGGGTTTACCCTAGTTGCTGTATATTGGTTTTGTATTAAAAGCAGAAGCCAAAGAGGAAGACGATACTTCAGGGTCACAGTCGAAGGGACTTCAGAAGACAGACCTCTATCATCTTCAGAAGGTCAGGTCATTTTCTTTTCCATCCATGTACATCCGGTGACGCTCCCTTTTTGCAGTGTACTGTAGATTAAGGGTGTTTCATTTTCAGTTTTAAACCACAACCAGGAACAAAGCAGACTTTATAAATTACAAGTTGAACACCCTATTTGTCCCTCTGCTACCCCCATTCTTCATATACACCATCTGAAATTTGCTATTTCATATAGATAGAAACTGCTTTTATTTTTTTTATTTTTTTTTTTTTTTTATAGAGGCACATGCACTGGGTACAGTCAGAAGCGCGGGAGGGTGAGAGAATTCACCAGAGCCAGAGCGGGGAGCAGAGCAGGCAGAAGGACCGAAGTACACTGCTGAGGGGAGCAGCGGGCAGCAGGAGAGTTCTGCGCGCCATGTGGGACCCTCCTCTGGTGGCCGGGGAGCAGCCGGGGATCGAACCGGCGCCGCAGAGGCCGCGGGCAGCTTCGCAACCCAGCGCTCAACCGCTGCGCCACCGGGGAGGCCCAGAAACTGCTTTTATAACCTCACACAGAGACAGAGAACTAACCATAAATGAAAAATGGGAACATGTTTGCAGAAAGGGATCTGTTTATTTTTATGATGTATTTTCTGTTTGGTCAAACTGAGAGATCCAAAAGAGACTTAACTTACTAGGTTTAGATACTGTTCTTGAAACTTATACTGCATACTCAGTGCAATAGAAATTAAGCTACATTTAAAATAAAAAAATAAATACAATTGATTTTGTTCTAGTTCTTACTCTGTACATTCTGTCTATGGAAAGGGTATCCTCTCCCTCTGCCTTAACAACAGGGCTCTCAGGGGTTTTCTGTGTCAGAATCATCAGAAAAAAAGTGGTTTTTTTTAATCCGTAGTCCTTATTGGAATTGAAGGAGTTAAGAAGAACAAGTAAGAAGCAGAGTAAGTTTGAAGTACTCAGAGAAAAAGTTGTGAACTTCATTGACAGTCTGGTAAGGTGAGTCTGTTGCTCTTAAGAGTTAAAAATCATGCTGTTTTAACAACAACAAAAATCATGCTGTTCTTCCATGTAACACTGATGTGACAGCATCCCACAGCTGATCCAAGACACCTTCTCCTAGATTAGGCCTTGTGCTTTTCAGGTGCTTCTGTTCAGCTTAAAATTGTGATTTTGAACCCTTTGTCATCCTTTGTAAGATGTCTCATCAAGTGACTTAATTCACTCTTTTACTTCCAGTTTAAGAACGCTGGTTTAATTTTAATCTAGTTTATTAGGCTAGGGCAGTGGTCAAAAAGTAAATGTTTTCCCCTTTCTTATAATGACTTGTTTGCACTGTCCTTGATCTTTGCTGGGAGTATGCTGCATCTAGACCAAGCCCTTGTGCCACCAGGGAGGCCCCAGAAATATATTCCTAAGCCACTCTCCAAGTCTGTACTTGGACAGAAACGCTAATATATGATGATGTTTGTCACTGTTCAATGAGTGTAGCCCAGTGGAAGCAAAATACAGGCAGGTATTTGGTTTAGTCTCTGAGTGAGGTCCTTTGTGGATATTCAGAAAGACTGTTTTGCTTTGGGATTTACCTGAATTTCTAAATGTTATAATTAAAATGTTGTTTAAAAAAGGGAGGGGAGTACAAATGTGAAACTGGTTTTTCTGAAGTCGAATCTGGTTGCCTTGTTAGATTTCTAGTCCTTATGACATAAGCAAGGATTGCCACAAGGTCTTTAAGCGACACTTTTATATACGTGATTGGGAAGAAACAGCCTGAGATTGGTGTAGGAAGAGTTTATGGTAAGAAATAACTAATGGGCAACCCAGTCAGCCATCTGGTGAGGCAGTTAGCATCACAAAAACCATTTCCGAGGCTACAGCTAAATTAACTTAATCTTGAGTAAAATGTTAGCAATATTTGAGATATAGAATGCTGTTTCTTAAGGCCAAGTCAAAATGATAGTATTTGCAAATGGGTTTTATTTCTGTTGATACTGAAGGAGCAGCATCTGAAGTGGAAGGAGCAGAGAGCCAGGAGCTCTGAGACAAGAGGGAGATGGGTAGGAGTGATGTACAGGGTTAATACCCTCTTCACTTCTCTTCTGAGGTCACTGACCACATGACTGGAGCAACTGTAGTGGGGTTTTTTAGCTAGTTATATCCTCTCCAGAAGGTGGGAAGAAAGGTCACCAGAAAGAAGAGGGTAATTTTCCTGGCTGGCTGAGGTAGTTCTCTCTGCACTGGTGAGAAAGGGATCTGACGTAAGTCTGTCATGTAGAAAAATAGTTTAAGCCTAGGACTGGACAAGCCCCAGAAATTTTTATAAAGACATGTGAGTTAACTACATTGTTAACTAGCAATTGCTTTAACTAACAATTTATTACTCTGTCTTTGGGTTGTGTATTCAAAGCTTCTGCCTTCTAATTTGCTACCCCACAGGTTACCCAAAAGTGATGTCTTTCAAGGCACAGACCACTTGATGGGCTTGTGATACATTCAAATGCAATTTTTTAACTTTTTTTTTTTTAGTTTGTTTCGTTAAATTTGCTTATCATGCAATTAATAAATGACAGTTCCAAGTTAGTGGTTTTTTTAATTGAAATTTTAATGATAGCTTGCTTTTTAGTATTCTTCAACTAAAATTTAAAGTATTTTTAACATGTAACAAACAAAACTTTCAGGGTATCATTTTTATGATGTCAATTTAAACATTTTCTATGATCCCCCAAAATTTTCCTAAATTCCTAGTGCCAGACCTTTTAGCTGTTAAATGTTTGCCATGGTAAGAAATGTGGTCATCTCAGTTTTAATATAATTGACTTTAAGAAATGTATCTGTATTTTAAAAAAGCATTCAATAATATTTTAAGAAATTCTACCCAAAAGATTTTTGGTATAACTAAACCGTATGTTTGTAAAGTTTTAGGCAAGGACTAAAACATAACAGTTTTCAAAAATACATGAGGAGGTACAATTCTGAGTGAACCTACTACATTGGACACTTCGGTTTTGTTTCATCTGTCTGTGTTTTGGTTGTTGGTTTTGCTTTTTAAGTAAATTGCTCAATCCTCCATAGATAGACAAAGATATTATATTGAAAATGAACTTCTGCTTACCTAAAAGGTGATACCTGACTTTGGCTATTTCAGAGAATACCTTCTGCCTCCAGAGACACAGCCACTGCATGAGGTGGTATACTTCAGTGCTGCCCACATCCTTCGTGAACACTTAAATGCGGCTCCACGAATTGCCCTCCACACAGCACTCAACAATCCTTATTATTATCTCAAGGTAAGAAGCAGATTCATTCTCTGACAGTTTAGTGTAGACCCTGCTCTTCATTTTTGCAAAAATACTGTAAAGTTGCAATTCTCATGAGTAGAGAGTTGGCAGCTTAGGGTTGCCCCTCTTTCAGATAATTTAAAAAAATTCTTTAGACTTTCGAGGATATTTTCTAACCCAGTCAGGATACCAATCAGTAGTCAGCTGATGTTGTCAACTTTTGACTGTTTAAATGTTTGTGCCGTCATAATTTGTACCTTCATATGATAAAACCAAATCATAGACACTGACACTTAGAAGTATACTATCACTGCTCTTGTGAAAATAAAGGAAATGTTTTCTACAAACACAATAGATAATGTGTCAAACAGTATGGCCTCATGAAACTACTAAAAAGATCCAAATAGTTGTTTCTTTAAAAAAAAAAAAGATTTATTTATTTATACATACAAGAGCGGGGGTACAGGCCAGAGGTGCGGGGGGTGAGAGGATTCACCAGAGACAGACTAGGGAGCAAAACAGGCAGATCCACTGAAATACACTGCTGAGGGGAGCAGTGGGTGAGACAAGAGTGGTCTGTTGTGCCATGTGGGTCACCTCCCTGGCCCGCAGGGGAATCGAACTTGTGCTGTAGTGGCTGGCAATAGCTTGACAGCACTGTCTTTAACCCCTGAGCCACCAGGGAGGCCCCCAAAACAGTTGTTTCTGATGAAAAAAAATTCTGTGATTTTTAAGTCAAAGAAAGATATACTTTCATAAATTATCTGTAGGACTAAATACAGAGGGTGGCCAGAAATCTGGCAGGGCTAAAATGCCTAAAATCCAAGCACATTTGCTGGTTTTTAGAAGTTGTTCTTTATAAAGAGTTCAAGAAAGAATTTTCAAAACTGACTTTCTTATGACCAGTTAAAGTGATTACCTTAAACATTTCAGTCAAGCTCTATCTCAATGAATATACATGAAATGTGTTAATAAGTAACAACATCAACTAAGCAGCTAGAAATCTTACCACAAAGGATACTTAAGAAATGACTGAAACCTGTGAAGAATGTTCCAGTGTACTAGTTTCCTGTTTCCAAGATGACACATAAATGACATACTAGTAAGTACTATAAAAGACTGAGTAAGAAGATAAAAATCAGTGATTTTCAATGATAGTGATAGTGGGTAGCTAGAATAATTTCGTATTTAAGTAACAGATTATTTTAATTACATAAACAACAAATTGAAACTTACAAAATCTGTCTTCTTGGCTAGTGGTAGTTTACAGCAGTCTCTGGAAGAGTGTATTCTCTCCAGTTGTGTGCATTAGAGACAGAGGTACTTGTTTCTGAGTTATGAGATGTGAATTTCAAATAGTTGAAAACCCGTTCATGGTTTATGCAAGGGTTAGCATCTGCAGTGTTGACAACATAGCCTTTTCTTTGAAAATTAAAGCCCTTATTGCCGTATTGGTATTTATTCAGACAGTTTAGTAATTGCCGCAATTCAGGTAATTACAAATGTTAGAAGTAACATTTTATTGCAAATCCACAAGGAATTCCATGAATCTTTTAGGGAACCCAGAAATACCTTAAGGCATATAAGTAATTATTAATGTAATTAATAATATTTAATGAGGGGCCTCCCCGGTGGCGCAGCGGTTGAGCGCTGGGTTGGGAAGCTGCCTGCAGCCTCTAAGGCGCTGGTTCCATCCCTGCTGCTCCCTGGCCACCGGAGGAGGGTCCCACATGGCGCGCAGGCCTCTCCTGCCGCCCGCTGCTCCCCTCAGCAGTGTACTTGGGTCCTTCTGCCTGCTCTGCTCCCCGCTCTGGCTCTGGTGAATTCTCTCACACTCCCGCGCTTCTGACTATACCCAATGCTTGTGTGGATGAAGAAATAAATGGATAAATAAAAAAAAATAAATGAATAAATAAATAAATCTTTAAAAAATATATTTAATGAAAATGAAGACCTAATCCTAAACAAACAAAACTTTCAAGGTTTGAAACTAGTTAACTATTGAACTAGTTAAATTGAGGAGTAAATGCAACTCAACTAAATCCAGGAGAGCAAAGATTCCATTTACTGGCTTACTAAATTTAGATGAGGGAGTTCATTAATATCTGATTTTGTTCCTAATCATTTCTAAAAGGTGGTCATCATAGTTTACTGTTACTTTTAGAATGAAGCATTGAAGAGTGAAGAGGGCTGCATTCCAAATGTTGCCCCAGACATCTGCATAGCATATAAATTGCATCTTGAATGCAGCAGGCTAATCAACCTTGTGGACTGGTCAGAGGTAGGTCAGGGGGAAAAGAACATGTTGTATATTTGTCTAACTATTCATGCAACTTTCCTGGAATGTTTTTATACTTTTGGAATTTTGGAGCTCTTTTTTATTTTCTTAGTGCGCTGTCTTTTGTTTATGGAAAACATAAATCACTTCACACTTCAAAAGTTCCTCCAGAAAAGCAGCAAACTCCTCAATATTCCCACTCCCAATCCCATTCTCTGATCTGGTGCTCCTCAATTACAGCAATTCTGCATTCACACCAGGTCAGAACAAGTATATGATCTAACCTCAAGTTAACAGTAAGTGAAAGCTAAACAATTTATGTCAGTTCTATGTAACACCACAAAATAAAAAAGTATATTAATCAGCATTTCCATTATTGCATAAAAAGAGAAAAAAGCATAATGGAGTGAACCTCACAGCAAATTTAGCAATCAGGAAGTACAAGGCATACTTGGCAAGCAAAGGACAACTGTTGTTGTTCTTTAAATAACTATTTTTTTCCCCCTCAAAAGCATTTTAGAAGAGTTTAACTCTGATGAAGGCCTTATTTGACATGTTTTAATCACAACTTAAAAGTATGCATAAATGGCTGCTTGTAAGAATAGACATTTTCCTGGGAGGTAGTGGGGTTGGGGAGTAGAGGATGAAAGCATCCTTTGCTTTTTATTTAGCTATGACTGACTTTGTTTCTTGCTTTCTTCTACACACTTCTTAGTTCTCAGAAACATGGTTATTCTGGAACCATTTCATTATCTTTTAATATGTACTTTAAATATTTAAAGTAATCAGTATAGTTTTGAGAATCTGAATTTGGTGTAGTAAAATTGTGCCAGCTTTCAGCAGCAGCAGTGCTTAACTTGACTTAATACAGAGCAGTCAAGGAAGTTCACTAAAAGATTTTGGCAACTGTTGAGATTTTTATATTCTATCTTGTCTCTTGAAAGGCTTTTGCAACAGTTGTGACAGCTGCTGAACAAATGGATGCAAATTCTCTAACCTCAGAAGAAAGGAATGAAATTATTCAGTATCCTTTTTAAAACCAGGTCTACAACGTCCAAGTACACATTTAGAATACAGCTTTATTTCTCCAGATATGTATTAGAGACTTCTAACAACTGCACCAGACAACCTTATTAAAATGGTAACCATATCATCCCAGAATAATTCATCACTAGCCTGAATATATTGAATAGCCTGAATTTATTCTAAAATGTGATCAAACCTAAAACAAAAGGTTTGAAACTTATATTAAGATCCTACTCTATAATTCACTAAAATTGTCCAAAGCCTGTCATTATGGAATTACGGTTTTCTGAGTTTATTAATGTTTTTAGAAGTTTGGTTGAAGGGAAGGAATTTTCATGTTATGTGAAAAAATACAAATAGGTAAGCATTAAGCACTTTCCCATGCATGTCATCGGTGAATTCTAATGTCTGATGTTTTCCACTCAGGGTTAGCGTTTAAGTTAGCATTATATATTTGAACTATACTTATCAGCCAATATTTTAACACTGAGATTTTAACTGTTTTTTGTCAAAAATATAACATGGTGCATTTCCTTAGCTATAACCTTCAGTGCTCGGTTTATTAGAGCTGTTTCTGAATTAGAACTTTTAGGATTTATAAAACCTACCAAACAGAAGACTGACCATGTGGCAAGGCTAACTTGGGGAGGCTGCTAGAAAGCAAATTAGTGAAGCTAGAAGGATCATATTTATCTTAAGAAAAAAAGGAGATCAGTCATATTTACCACCACAAAAGAATAACTGTTTGGCAAGAGAAATGTGGAATCCCCATCTGATGTTTAAACAGAAGGTAGATTGCTAACCCTAAACAGGAATATATCAAAATTTTTGAGGTACTTTAGAATCTAACAAATAACATTCTTACATTATATCTAAAATCTCTTCTACCTTATCACTTATCATTTTAGTAATCATTAAATTATGAGTAAATCATTCTTGAAAATACATAGTATATAAATGTAATAAATTCCTTTATCCAGAAGTATAAAATATTTTCAGTTGATTTAATAGTACTCATTTCTGCTTCCCTAGTTTCTTACACTGCCATTCACTTTAATTGTGTAGTAAATTTTTTTGCTCAGATGAGGAAAGGCTCACATGAAATTGATATTTGGTTCTCTTCCATGATAAAAACTCAATCAAGTTCATTATTTAATGTCCTATTCCCAAGACAATTCTGGGATGTCTTTAAGACATCCCAAAATTGGTATAACAAAATTACCAATCAAATATGGTATGGACAGGAGAAAAAAGTCCAAACTCAGTAAAAATTGTTTTGGATAGCAAACTTTAGAATTATGTAATTGTAGGCTTTTTGTTTTAGCTCTGAGGACAAATTTAATGTTTGACTATTTTTTAATGTAATGTAAGCAAATTTAATATAACTTAAACCTCACTAATTCTGAAGTGTAAAAAGGAGGTAATAATGAATATAGTGTATCTGGCAACATGATGGGCTGAGATGACATTCATGGATAATTGTTCCCTTCCCCTTCCTTCCACTCCCAAAATACAAAAATGCTAGGTGAAATTTATCCCCAAAACAAACTGGGAAAATATTGCCATGGTTAAAGAAAGGGAATTCCCAAGATACCAGAAATAATCAGCTGCAAACCAGAGCAGAAAGCATCTAGCTCTACAGAGCTTTGAGAAAGACAGTTACCAGTGCAGCATTATTTAAGGTAGATTAAATATCTTTATCTAAAAGATGCCAGGATTTCTTATTCAGCAGAATTAAACACATGTACATATGCACAAAGGGCTGTAAACTTGGAAATTATAATATGCAAAAACAAATGATGTCACAATAAGGAGGAAACTAGGCTCTTGATATCTTGGAATCCACGTGTTAAAGGCAGTGCCTCTGTCATCTTAGGAAGTCCCTGAATGGAGGCATTTGGAAGAGTCTCTGCCATTAGATATGGTCAGAGCAAAGAATGCATTCCTGTCATGTGAAGTGTCCATGATTTAGTTCACAGCAACTAGTTCCTTATTTTTTCTCAGTATTCTATAACCATTCCCTTCCATTAAATGTGCCATCAACCATATGCCTCATTTTTGTTAATGTTGGTGAACAGGAGAAGGATGATGTGTAGATGATTTTTAAGGCTTTTTTTTTTATCTGTTGCTTATTTAAGTCAGTCAATAATGGAATGTTTCCCTAATAATCCAGGTCTTACTAAAACGAAGACACCATTGATATGTACAAAGTGGTTTCCTCTTTTAGATGATACAGATGAGCACCGGATAAAACTGTTGTGTTTAGAAACCATTTCTTTCAACAGATTCAGATAGCAAAATGCATACATGTTAAGGTAGAGTAGCTGGCATCATATAGACAAGCAGATTCACATCTATGTAAGGCACAGGGTCCCTGAATAGAAGTAGCCCTGCTTCATCAATTTTTCTTCTGCTGGGTACTTAGTGAATTCATAATACCTAAATGCATGTCATACAGTGAACTACTTTGATTTTTCTTATTACCTATTTAAAGATTATGTAAGATGAAAACTGTCCTATTTTCATGGTGAATATCCAAAAGGCTGTAAAATTAAAACATGAAGCTCATTGTGGTCATCACTAATAGAGCACAAAATCCTCAAGCCAGTTTATGGTTTTTCAGCTCAGTTCTCTCTCCATTCCTTAATTCCTCAACCAAATAATCTTACCTCACATATGGACTATTCTAATTGACTGTGTCAATACTATTCAGAAAACTCTAAATTGAAGAAGTTTGTTTATTGAGCACATGTCACATGCCAGGCACTGTTCTAGGCACTCGTGATACTTCAAGTGAACAATGATCCTTGCCTTCATTTCATTCTAGCAGAGGGAATAGAACAGTTATACTATTTATTACAAAGGAAAAAAAAAAAAAAGAAAAGAACAAAGAGAACCAGAACATGCTGCATTTTTAAATGGTGATCAGAGCAGGTCTTGGTGAGACATTTTCGTTAAAGGTTTACTCATGAAGTATTATGGGAGAAGTGATTGTAAGCAGGTAACAGCACTAAAAGAGATTGTTAAGGAACACACGACTATGCAAACTTCATTGAGAGATTAGCGAAGGTACCAGTGTGGAATAGGCAGAGCGAGCAAGAGAAAATTAAATGAGGTGGGGTGGAGTACAAGGGGTAATTTAAGGCTCTGTAAACTGTTGGAAGGTCTTTGACTTTTACTTCACTAGGAAGCCACCTAAGTATAAGATATAGACCTTTGAAGGCTCACTCTGTGAGAGTAATAATAGGCTAGAGTAGGTAAGGGGACACAATGAAGCAACACAAAGGCCAATTAGGAAACCACTAAAATGCAGGCAAGACATGCTAATATCTTAAACGAGGGGTAACAGTAGAGATGGTGAGATTTTAGATGGAACAGAGATTAGATGAAGGATGTGAGGAATTCAAACTTTGGGCCAAGAAACTATTAGAATGGAGATGCCATTAATTTGATTGGGAATGAGGAGGAAAAGATTGAGCGGCAAAAATAAAGTTTGGTTTTGAACATAAATTTTCAGACTGCTGTTAGATACCCAGGTAGAAACGTCACATTGGGAGGTGACATTAACCTGATGTCTTTAGAATTAGGTGAGATCACCAAAGTGATATGAACAGAAGAGGCAAAGAGCCCAAGGCTGAACTCCGGGGCATTCCTGTTTTCAAGTTCAGAGAAATGAAGATTGGGCTGGAAGCAAGATAGAATGAGAAGGTGCAGCCAGTGGAGGAAAATCAGGCAAGAGTGGTTTCTTTTAAAACAACTGAAGTGTTTTAAGGTCAAGTGGTGATTTATAAGAGTAGACAGACTAAACCTGATAGGCTTCACCTATCAGGTAACCTAACAAGTCTAGATTTATCACTAGCCCTGGGAAAGCCCGGTTATATGCTAAATATTTAGACCATAGCATCATCTTGCACAAAAAGCTTTACCCTTGAAACTAATAATAAAATCATTAAGAACTCCCAGTTTACAGGAAGCTTTTCAAGGGGGTAAAGAGGTTGAGTTAATGACACAGTAAAGACAACAGGCCCATTTGTTACAAAATTTTGATGGAATTCTACTCTAGGGAGAAAAATAAAAAGCTGCAAAAGACATTTTAGGGACAGGCAGGGAAATCTGGACTAGATGTTAAAATAGGTTATTGTAAATGGGGTAATGGTATTAAAGTTATAGATTCACTTAGGAGATGCCTCATGTCTGCAATTTTCTTTGAAATAGTTGTACACCGTAAATGGATTATTGGACTGTTCTTTCAGTTTTTCTGTTCAAAATTCTAGTAAGTTTTTCTGTTCAAAATTCTAAGAGAAGGGGCAGGGCAAGGATTGAGAAAAATGTATTATAAAGGTTAGAACACAAAAATAGGTAATAGCTAGAGAGGGATAAAGGATCAAAAGATTTTTTAGTAGCATGTTTATTATGCTTCTGGGAGTGAACTAGTGGAGAAAGAAAATGGATGTAGGAGAGAAAACTGTTGGAACTGGCCTGGGGGGTTGGATCTAATACTCCATAGCTAGGGTGGGAAATTGCTGGAGCCATGTCTGTGAGCGACAGACTATTAGGTGTTAAAGCAGAATATTAACACCAAATACTATATAATTTTGAAGGGAGTAGAGATCCCAAATGAGACAAAGAATAATTCCCAGTCATAGCTGCTCAGACTACCTGGGGAGCTTGTTAAACATTCCAACAACTCCCATTATCCCCTGTCTTCTAAAGCACTTCTCACGGTATAAACTGGAATCTTTCCTGAAAGGTCTCCAGGTAATATTGCTGATGCAATTAATGTCTCATTTGAAAACCATTTTCTTTAGGGCTAGATATAAATTACCATTGGCCAAAGGTGGCTTTGACATTTTAAACCTCCAATGTTTTGCTCAAAATTGCGAAGAATTATACCTACCTTATGTGCTCTTGTCTATGATGGATTTACTGAATACATCACAGTAACTGAAGTATAGCACCCTACTAGGACTACCTTTTACTAAAATGACTTGTTAGCCCACTAAATTCTGTAGGTACACTTAACCTATTAAAATTTCAGTGCTCTTTGGAAATTCAAAATCCTTAGGTAGCAAATAGAATCTCTGTTGAGATTAAGTGTGGTTGGTATTGGATTAGGCTCATCTAATTGTAACTAAATTCAAGCAGTTGCCTGTATTTTTTTCCCATAATTATCTCACAATACTTAAAACCAGTATGTTGCCCTTAGGATTTCCTGGTGACGGTAAGCAGAAATTCAACTACAGGGGAAATTTGTCTTGATCAAAGACGAATCTACAATTAAAACCAAAGCTCTGTTACTTGTATTTCCATTCATACTGCCAGCACTGATTTTCCCTTTATGTATGTTGCCCATCGAGTATGAAAATCAACTTACAAATTTACATCTATGAAAATTCTCACGTCACATAAAAGAATGGGCATTATTTTGCCCTTACTGAATGTAAAATATATTTACATTCACTTTACTCACATACCTCTGTATTTCAACTGACTGCTTGCTTTCTCCTAAAAATGCTGCCTTGCTATACGTGTGGTTCTCAGCTAGAGACTTCTTCCCTTACCCCTCACATTTGGTAATATCTGGAAGTACGTTGGTTGTCACAACTGGAGTGAATGCTACTGGCATCTAGTGGTAGAGGCCAGAGATGCTACTAGACATCCTACAATGTAGAAGTAAGTATAATCTGGCCCATTTGTTAGTGCAAAGGTTCTCAGAGAATCAGTATAAAAATTAACTCACTTTATATCTACATTGTGCTACACCAGTGTTTCTTAAGCACTTAATGAGCATGAAGATTACCTGGGGGATCCTAACCCTTTACTATTTTTTGGCCTTGTTTTAAACATAGAATTGTTGAAATATAATCATCAAGGTCAAAAAGGAGGGAAAGAAAGCATTTATTTTTCCTATTAATTATAAATACCTATGTCCCACGACATGCATGATTGGTTTAGTGGAAATACACTAATAGAATTCAGCAGAAGAACTCACAGAAGCATTTTTGCTCACTTCATTTATAGGACAGCTGTATTTTAAAGTGAGGTAAGTTTGCTAAATTATGCTTTCATACATCCTAAAAAAAAAAAACCAACCACCTTAGATTGTACCAATAATATCTTTGAGGTAAGAATTCTACAGCTATTAGCGCCCCCCCCCCCCCCCCCCCCCCCCCGTGGTGGTAGAGTGCTGGGTTTGGGAAGCTGCCTGCAGCGCTGGTTCGATCCCCAGCCACCAGGCGAGGGTCCCACATGGAGCGCAGACCTCTCCCGCCGCCCGCTGCTCCCCTCAGCAGCGTACTTCGGTCCTTCTGCCTGTTCTGCTCCTTGCTCTGGCTCTGATGAATTCTCTCCCCCTCCTGCGCTTCTGACTGTACCCAGTGCTTGTATAAATAAAGAAATCTTAAAAAAAAAAAGATTTCTACAGCTATTGAACTTCATCTGTTTTATAACATTCTATAATGCAGTGAGTTATGAAGAGAAGCAATTTGGAATCAAAATTCAATTTTTGAAGCGAGAACCGATCTTAGAACATTAATTTCTTATTTTCCTAGAAAGTGCTTTGCATTTCAAACACTGGCTTTATTCAAATACTAGTCATTTATACATTAAAAAAACAAGCAGATTAGAAGTAAATGTTTTATTCTTTCAACTAAATTCCAGTACTACAAGGGCAGTAAAACAATGATACACTGGAAAAAAATGCAGCAATAAACATTTGTTAAAAAGATTGATAGAATAAATAAAACTACCAAAAAAAAAAAAAAGTAAATCATATAAATCCATTCTGAAGCCCCAAGAAGTCCTGGAATACAGAAATGCCCTCCTCCTTCACTATTTCACAGGAAGCACTGTAGGCTAGTTGCTTAATAATATTCTGGGATTACAGTCTAAATTATTAATATCTGGTTACAGCTTGGTTGTAGTGCACAATTAAAATCACACTAACTTCATCTGAAGTGTCATTCTACGGTTTTATTTACACAACCAGTGAAGGGCATGTTCTTAGAATACCAGCTTTAATCCTTTTCAGACATTAATGTAAGAAGCCAAATTGTAATGATACAGCAAATGGGGCCACTGGTATTAATACAGGTAGCAAAGGTCCACTTCCGGGTGATATTGACATCAGGGAAATTCCAAAACCAGCTGCTGCCTAAGAGTGGTTGCCACTGATGAAAGCTTGAAGTAACCTGTATTCACAGGGGGGTACTGGCATTGCTGCATGTCATAGTTGGGACCTCTTGCAACAACTCAACAAGGAACAAGGCAGCCCAGAAAAATGCAGAAAACGTGATTCATGAAACATCTAAATGGGGAGAAAAAGAAAATTAGTACCAAATCTATGACAAAATTCAAATATTAGATTTTTGTCCCCAATATTGCCCAAGGTATTTTATCAAGTGAGCTTTAGTAATGTATTGTTGTCTCTTTCCTTCAGTTTTTTCATGATTTGTGCTAAATTCTCTTATGTATGAAAATAATAATAAATTGTCCTCTTAAAAGGTTGTCTTGTTTTCAGTTTAAGGATTAAATACTTACAACTAGCAGGCTGTTCTCCATATCGTCGCATTATTTGATCATGCGTAAACTTCACAAATGCATCATATTGTTCTACAAATAAAGATATACATCAATTACATAATACATTAGAGCCAGGTAAGCTGAAAAATTCAATACTTATAGTGGAAAAATTCAATACTTATAGTGAAAAAATTCAATACTTATAATGAAACAGTCTAATCAGACAGACATCATCATAACTTCAGTAATAACTAAGCAAGGAGCTTATCACGAGTCAGGAAATAGTTTTACACTTGATCTTAGCCTAAAGGCCGAGAAGCGATAGCAAATAGTTTTAGTCCAAGTCATAAGATCTCATAATATATAGCCTGGGTGGTATTTACTTCTTAACCTATGGGCTTGAAATAAAAAGGTATCTGTCTGCACTGAAAGTTTATTGTAAGTGGCCTATGAATAATAATCTAGTGCAATAATAATCTAGTGCAACAAAAGCTTAACAAAATATGAATTTCAAAAACACCTTAAGCTAACCACAAAGACTAAACTCTTGCACTACATTAGCAAATTCTCTTGCTTCCATTAGTACCTTGATTTAGTTATCAAACAGCTTACAATTCCCAAATCTGTGGCTTAAAATTGGGGGTGGAATGACTGGTTTTTGGGTTACCATACATAAAAGTTTATTTCACTTAAATTACCAAATTTTACTTTAAAAAACTTTTGCATAACTAAAACAAAACTATGCTGTGACACTACTAAAAACAGTGCTGGTTAGATTATTTCAAGTGTCTAGACTAATGGCAAAATTCTCATCCATGTTATTATACAGACCAAAATTCCCAACCAAATTGAGGTAAATAAATAGCCAGTCAATTTTTAGTATAGGGTACATCAAAAGAAAAATCTAGTTCACTAATACTGCTGCTGATCTAGATGGATAACAAATATTAAGGACACTAAAGTGGGTTATGTTCTTGAACTGAAATTCTCTGGTTCTTAGAAGGTTGAAGGTTCTTAGTGGCTGAAGAATACCTGGGGGGGATGACTTTCTCAGAAGTTTCTGAGACTAAAGTAAAAACAACTCATACCTGCAAGTTTTGTGTTCAATATTTCTTCATACTCTTCTCGAACTTTCTCTTCACGTTCTTTCAACAAACGTTCACATATCATCCCAACCTGCCGTAGAGTGAATAAGGGCTGTTCTTTTTTTAATGGTGAGGACGTTGCTGATGAAGTCCCTGTGTATAACATGAACAAACAAACAAAAAAGGCACCTTATATACAGAATCACAGAATGGTTTCTTCTAACTGAAGATTTCATTTGGCTCCTTTTAATGTTCATATGAAAGCACTATGTAACAGTGTTATTAGCAGAGTATTTCCCAATCAGTCTTATAACAGGTTTAATCCTACTAACTTGTGGTTATCATAATGTAGCAAGACGTACGCACCTAAGAGAAAACAACTAAAGGTGAGTGGAGAAAAACTACAAGATACAAACAAAAATTAGTAAGTTGTTCTTTAATGACATTAACTAGGAAAACCATTCTGTAAAAACAAATACTGGGAATATATTCATAATATTAAACATTAAAATTCATAGTTTTTAAAGATTATTAATTCTAACTGCCACTAAGGTTTACCAGACTTTGCTGAGAACTTTACTAAAGGTAAAAGCCACTTTTGATGGTTCTTTTTCAATAAGCTCTAATTTCCGACTTCATTTCAACTAGCTCTCATTTTTCTGCCTTTTAGAAAAGTACATTTCCAAACCACTCCTATCAACAAGACAGATTTGAAAAATAGAATCAAAATAATCCTCATTTAGAAATCTATCCTAATAGGACAAGTGTATGAGGACAAATGTATAAGGACATTTTTGTAAATGCTGTAATAGCAGAAATTCTCAGTCTAATTATCACTAATGATATCTAAATAATGGGAAATCCATAAAATGGCTTAATATTCATCTATGGCAAAGTACATTTATACCTAACAAGGAGGCACGATATATTGCTAATCTTTTTTTTTTTTAAACAGAGGCTATAAAATCAAAGCACAGAGGCAACTATTATGTACAGATAGTTGTCTTTTGGCAGTAGGAATCCAGGTGATGATTACTTACTTTGCACCATGCTTTTAAGACACCATGCATTACTTATGTAGATATTTTTACAAATCAAGGGCAGAAAACAGCAGCTTAAGTGACAAAAAGCAATTTGGATTATCCTTTCCCATACTAAATAATGCTTTTCACTTATTACCTGGTGAAGCTGGTCCACTGAGGAGAAATGCATGTGGCTGTGCATCGGAAGTACAACACGGATCTGTCTGTTGGAAACTAGTCTCTAAATGTCTTCTCTTCTGCATGCGTTTGTACTCTTGTTTTATGTTGTAGAGAATTTGTTCTAAAAGAAAAAAAAGTTAAAAATTGGCAAGATTAAAAGCTTTTATTTAAGTTTAATAAAAAAGACTGGGCTTCCAACAATTGATAGAACCGGTCTACTAAAAATACTCTCTTCAGATAACATCCAGAAAACTGGGATTCTGGGAGGAATTAATTTCAGCTCTTCTACAATGCTCCTTTTTTTTTGCAAAGCACTGCTTTGCAAAAGAAATTTAGGTTTTCACTCAATGTGAAAGTAAGGGAGTTTATGAACTAAAACACGGTATTTTATAGATTCTTAAAGAGTCCCAAATGCAAAGATCAGTAGTCACCACAAAATATAGAACTATTATGCTAGCAGACTTTCCCAAAACCACAATAATCAGAAGGGGGGAGAATGATGTATACAGAAGCATAAATCAGTGAGAAGTGACTGCAAATCAGAAAAAAAACCAAGAGTAGATGGGAACTAAAAACTTACATTAAATGATCATGTACATTAATATTAAGCTCAACATAACCTATGAATACTACACAGCATTAGTAGCAAAGTTTTGTTCTAAGTCCTGGGGGGGTAGAAACACACAAAGTGCTTCACATTGGTTTATATCAAGTACTCAAGAGAATCACTGTACCCCAGCACCATTATCTTCAACTACAACCATGACACAGGTAAATTATGAGTATATTCTCTAGGCCAGTGTGACTCATTTTAGAAAGACTTCTAAACTACTCCCAACTAGTTACTACTACATCTGTCAAGAAAATCCCTCCTTGAAGTTTTCGTTCCCCTCCAAATACTTGCTCACGATCACCATATCTTTTAAATTGAAAGATTATCCAGGGCCTGCCAGGTGGCGCAGCGTTTGAGCACTGGGCTGCAAAGCTGCCCACAGCCTCTGCAGTGCAGGTTGGATCCCAGCCGCCTGCGAGGGTCCCACATGACTCGCAGACCTCTCCTGCCACCCGCTGCTCCCCACTCAGCAGTGTATTTCGTCAGTCTGCCAGTTCTGCTCCCCGCTCTGGCTCTGGTGAATTCTCTTACCCTCCCGCGCTTGTGACCGTACACAGTGCTTATAGAAATAAATATTAAAAAAAATATTATCCATAGGTAATCCCAATAAATTTATTAATCCCAATCCAAAGCAAGATTAAGCTGAAATTAAAAGTTAAGGTGGCAACTAGTGGCAATAAAATGTGTAATATAATGGAGTGTAACTACCAATTCTACAATGTGCGTTCATTAAAAAATAAATGAAAACTCAACAGAAGCCTCCAAGCGTATATAAGATGACAATCCTCCCCTTTAAATTTAACATTAGTGGTTTTCTCAGGTATATATTTTATTGTCATGTCACTTTCCTCCCGTTATGTTGTTTCCTGAGTAAAAGGATTTTTGAGTGATCAATTCTGACGTTATATCACCCAATCTGTTAAACATTTTAAACATTTTAGATAATGCCAACTTTTTATTATTTAATGGGGGGGGAGGAAAATATCCAGTGAATATTCCACTTACGTAGTTTGTGTTTAAGCAAACCTTTCTACATGAACATGAGAGTCTAAACACAAATTGGAATGATTAATTTGTGTTGGAATGATTAATTTCAGGATGGTTGCATGTATGGTGCAGTGCGTTAGCTGTATATAACATCGCTCAAGAATGTTAACATTTGTTTTTATTAAAGTCATTTCCATTTTTTCCCATCCATTTGAAAGTTTGTAATTTAGAAATGATTTACCAGTTTCAAAAAAAAAAAAGAAAAAAGTTGCTCACTGAACACTTAAACACCTTGATGTAAAGTGATGCCAGTGTTCAAGAAATCTAGTGCAAAATCCTATCGTGTAACCAAGACAGCATACATATTTTTAAATAACAGAATTCTCACTAGCAGTATAAGTTATGGTGTACATATTATAAGTAATGATGTACAGATCTAACAGACAGCAATCATCACTCACACTGACCAAAAGTGTCATTCAAAACTTCCTTCACTACCAGACTTCATCATATGTACTAGTTCAAACAGCCTGACCCAAGTATCTTTTGTGGTATATTCTTTGAGGACCATATTTAAGTTTTCCCGTTGAACTAAGATGTACAAAAAAATAGCGACAACAAACTCAATTTGTTCAAATGACAGTCTCAAAAAAGGGGGCAGATCTAAGATTAAGATACGGTGTAACTTTAGAAGTTTAGCTTTGTAAGCCTCCATACCATACCTTATGAGACATCCTAACAAGCTAAGGAATTTTAAGGTTTAACTCAAAACATTTCAACAATTAAAATGTACAATTCTAAAAGTTATGACAAATGTATGTACAATATAGCTTGAAACGGCCACACCATGATAAAGAATTTCATCACCCTAGAAAGTTCTTTCCTGTTCACCAACTTTGTCACCCACCACCATCTACTGTTCTGATACAGGTTTTCCTTTTTTTTTACCTTTCACATAAATAGAATCAGAGTAGTCTTTTGTGCCTGATTTCACTCAGCAAATGCTTTTGAGATTCATAGATGATTGTTATGTGTATCAATTATTCCTTTTTATTAATACTGCACTGTGTGTGTAGAAATTATTCATACACACACAACTTACCCTTTTTCTTTTTAAATTTCTAAAAATTTTTAAAAAATATGTATTTATACAAGAACTGGGGTACAGGTCAGAGGTGAGGAAGGGTGAGAGAATTCACCAGAGAGCAGGGAGCAGAACAGGCAAAGGGAGCCCCCATTATCTTTTTTTTTTTTTTTTTAAAGATTTATTTTTATTTATTTACTTATTTATACAAGTTCTGGGTACAGTCATAAGCGCGGGAGGGTGAGAGAATTCACCAGAGCCAGAGCAGGGAGCAGAGCAGGCAGAAGGACCGAAGTACACTGCTGAGGGGAGCAGCGGGCGGCAGGAGAGGTCTGCGCACCATGTGGGACCCTCCTCCGGTGCCTGGGAGCAGCTGGGGATCGAACCTGCACTGCAGAGGCTGCGGGCAGCTTCGCAACCCAGCGCTCAACCGCTGTGCCACCGGGGAGGCCCTCCCCCATTATCTTTTTAATGGACATTGGCTCTTTCCAATTTGGGGCTATTACGAATAAGGCTATTATGAAGATTCAAGTACACTTTATAGGTGGGTAAGTTTTCAGTTCTTTTTGGTAAATATCTGGGAGTGGAGTTGGATTGCCTGATTACGTGGTTTAAGTATAAATAAAATAGACCAAATCTAGAGCTCTGAACTTCATACTAGGTATTACCATGTCTATTTTATAAGGTACTCAAGAGTTGCTGTGGCCACCTAGCTTTGAAAATTAACTATTTTCCCAGGATCACCTGGTTCAGTAACTGTAAAACATTTTAGATTCTCCACTAAGGGAAATTAAGGACATTTGCTTATCCAGCCAAGAGCTCTCTGATTGAAAGGAATGACCTGGTAACATTTTAAAATTTACTTTGAAATTACTGCTATATTAAAGGGACCTGAAACCAAATTTAACATAATATGGTCAAGTTATAAATATTACTCTGTTTGGATCAGCATGAATCCTAACAAACATAGTAGTATAGCTGTACACAATTACATGAACATTAAGGTATTATTTACAGTACTTTAAGAACAACTTGCTTAGGGTCTAAATTTATACTATGTAGCATTTTACTGCCTAAGACATTCATTTATCTCCCCACAAGAAAAAAAAACTAATAACTACAGGTCAAATCCTATTATTTCACTGGTAGTGCAATAACCAATTATCTATTTGAAATAAATGATTCAATTTGTTAAAATTTCGCAGATACTTATAAATTTTACAAATTAACTGCACAATGAATTCTCTCTATTGCAAGGAATCCAACAAAGTTCAATCAGCAGGTGGTTCCTCACTGATGTTCAAGAAGTTTCATAGCTCTAATATTACACTAGACTGTAAAGAGATGTATTAACTACATTGCTTTTGAAAGCATCTTCTCAAACAACTAGGAAAATTCAGAGTAACCAGAACAATAACAACAATATATAGTAAACAATATATAGTAAATGGGGAAGAGAAGGTAAAACCACCATCCAACATAGGCATACTATAGCTACAAGTGCAAGCTGACAAGTCCAACTTCTATTCCAATAAGCCATGCCTTGTGAATACGCGGTTATGGTTTAGAAAGACTGAAAAGAATAGACTCCTTGAGGATTCTTGGGCAGCATAATCAAAATGAAGAACAAACCTGTTTCCGGTAACAACTTGTTAAGGCACGAAAAATATGTATTAGCACACAAATATTGATATTTGAACTGTAGTATACTGGAAACCAAAGGCTGCAAAATGATGATTCATAGGATAAATCAAATTCCAAGACATGTTTACAGTAAATACTTTCTTTTTTAAAACAATTTGTGGCCAACATTTAAAAGTTGGGAGACTTTACCAAAAAAAAAGGGGGGGGGCTACTTTTGGGGTGGCTGCTACCTTTTGTGCCAAGTTCTCAAGTGCTTCTAAAACATTAATGTCCACAAAATCACGTGGTGATTTTATTAAAATGTAGATTCAGACAATTGAGCTTAAGATTCACTAGTCTCCACCTATTCTTTATATTACCATAATACTTTATATTACTTGCCTAGAACCATGAGCATTTAAGTTTTTTACCCCTTGTTTAAAATAACAGTACCCCCCACTGCAACAATTAAGAAAAGTAGTTGGTTTCTTTATTATTGGAAATACTGCAAATGAAGTGGAGGAGAATGAAAGCAGTAGCAGCACAGATTATTACAAGTGCAAATATTTAAGGTATTGTAAATTCATGCTGCCACTTTACCTGTGTGACTTTTGTAGTTGTAAGACATACTCCTCCCTAGCAGGGAAATATTCCATAAGTCAGTTTAAACTTGACTGAACCTATTTATGGAAATCATTACATGGCATTAACATATGTATATTGATTCACTTACCTAAAAATATGAAATTCATGTTCATCATGTGACAGTGAATAAAAGCATTTGCTTTTCTATTACATCTATTGTCAGCAGATG